GCATGCCAGGCAATTAGAGCGAGAAAATGCGACATATTTCATCTAAATTCGAATACAAATGAAATTAAAATTCAATTAAAATCAATTGAACCATAGCTCTGACACAGCCCGTCGTCAAAAGTATGTTAAGCCAAAAATATATATATGCAATATATATATATTTAAATAATATATATAAAGATGTGAATGCATACATTTTATGCAGTTTCTTATGAGTCAAGTGACACACTATTAAGCGAGTCTGGTATGTGCAGGTGCAACAGTGCAGCAACAACAACAACAGCAACTTGCCACAAGGCAGCTGGCAACCTGAAGCGACCGTAATTGAATTTGAGTTTGTTGAGCATTTTGTAATCTTGTATGTCTTTATTTAATTTTTATATTCATCTTGTGGCAACACAGAAAGAAGCTGACGATAAGATTACAGCTGCATGTGGCAGCCAGCCACCGTGCAACAATCCACACAACGAGCCAACTTTCAAGGCGACACATGTGCTTGTTTCTGTGTGTGCGTGTGCGTGTGTGTATAAATATTTTTTTTATTATTAAATCAAAAAACTTGAGTAAATTTCACAAACAAAAATTGTAAATGCCAGCCGTTGGGTTGTGTGTGTGTGTGTGTGTGTGTGTGTGTGTGTATTACAATTTCACTTGATTGCCATTTGTTTTTTAGCGAACTGTGCGGCAAATGTTATGCGGCTAACTGGCTGCACATCACAAGCGGACAAACACAACCGCAACACACACACACACACACACAGAGAGAGAGAGAGAGAGAGAGACATACACAACATAAACACAATTTGGAGCAGTGCGTCAGCAAGCGACGCATTCAATTAAACTTCCGCCAAACATGAAGCTTGCTGCTTGTTGCCCACCCCACTCCAACCCGAGTCCACCCAACCGCTACGCTTGCTGCTTGCCCCTGCCCCTGTGCGTGCCCCTGCCAGTTGCCTATTTGCCTGTCATTCAGCTGGCTGCTGCTGCTGCCGTTGGATGTTGCTGTTGCCTCAAGGTTATAAAATAAACATGTTGCCACACACAAAATTTAAATAGATACAAGTTTGTGAGCGCATAAAACAATAAACCGCAGTAATTTAACAAACAAAAAAAAAAATTATATATATATATATATATATATATATATATTTATGCACATGTACCACAGCCAAGCAAAAGAAGAAGAAGAGCCAAGAAAAAAACCCAAAAGCAAGGCATAAATTGCTGCTCTTTCGTTCACTCTCTCTCCCTTTCTCCGTCTTTGGGAAATTCGAAATTAAAATACAATTTAAAAGTACCAAATAGAGCAATTAAGCGGCCTTTTCTTACAGCTTACACACACACACACACACACACACACATACATACACACACAATGAGCCAACACATGACAGCAAGTGCTCAGCACATGCAAACTTCATTACAAACCGGAACAACTTAAGCAACAGCCTAGGCACAATCATCAAGTACAAGTACAAGTACAAGTGCAATACACGCACACACACACAAGCACACACACACACACGCACAAGTACACACACAAATGTGTGTGGCATATATTTGTGCTTTGTCCCCCAAACATACAGACAACAAAGATAACAAAAGACGCGCGCGTTTACAAGCAGCAAAGTGGCAGGCAGACAACAGCGGTGGCAGCGGTGGCAGCGGTGGCAGCAACACCAAAAAGTGTTGCATACTTCTAGGGGGCGGGGCGGTTGTCGCACGTTCTAGTAGTTGTTGATGGACGACGCATTGGTGTTGCCAAAGCGGCTTGTAATTTGAAACACTTGTGTCAATGTGCGCCTCACCCTGCACCCTGCAATCCCTCCCCCCTTTGACAGTCACCCAACCGATGCCCCATGCCACAAAAAGCTGCCACAAAACTCGCATGTTTTGCTGTTGTTGTTGCTGCGGTTGTCAGCGTCTTATTATCATCATCAGTGGCAGCTTTCGGCGGTTTTGTGTATGTGCACACACACACACACACACACACACACACACTCGCACACACATAAAAACAATTGAGAGTATGAGCGGCTGTTGTTGTCGTATTTGTTGTTGTAGGTACTAGCGCCGCCTGCCGACTGACATAACACACACGCACACACACACACACATAGACAACAGTGGCACAGCGTGCTGGGTTAGTTGCAAGTTGTGTGTTGTCATCGAGCGTCTTCTCGACGAAACAGTAAAATTCACTTTGCCAAAAAGTTTTTATTTCATTAAAAAGTGTCTGCGTGTGTATGTGTGTGTCGTTTGCTGGCAGGGAAGCAATTCATCAAACCAAATTCAGTCACCACACACACACACACACACACACACACACACACACACGAATACAGACACGTACACACACACGCGCACAAGGCAAAACTAACGGACTGACAGCTCAATGAAAGCAAGCAGCAGTCGCCAATGCTTATGTTGCCTTTGGCTTTATCATGCTGCAAGTTGTAGCCGCAACAAAAACTGCCAAAAAGATGTTGCCCCAGACAGAGCCCGGCCGAGCAGTTCGCTAACAACTGCGTTTTTGGTAAAGTTTTTAACCTTTTGCATATGCATGCGCCAACAGCGGCCCAGCGAGCGGGTGAACGGGCCAACGGGCGAACGGGCGAGTAAATGGCTCAAGTTGTTGAAGCGTGCTTTTGGCTTGTGCTTGTTCTTGTTCTTGCGCCCGACGTCTGCTGCATGCTCACAGGCATAATGAAAGCTTCAGCTGCGTACACACACACACACATACGCACAAGAAAACGCACACACACACACACGCACTAGTTGCTTGGGCTGTCCGCTTCGCTGAAAAACGAGTTGCAGCCGGCAGATCTGCAACGGTTGCACCACAGCTTAGTGTGCGCGTGTGTGTGTGTGTGTGTGTGAGAGAGAGAGAGAGAGAGTGTGCACAAAGACAGGGTGGTACTCAACTAAATGGTATGCGAGTGTGTGCGTGTATCTGCGCTGCAGAAATATGACATTTAATTTGCATAAATTAATGCGCGTCTCTTCCCGCACAAACCCTACCGACCGCACCCAACGAAATGCAGCCAAAATCAGCTAAAAGTTCGATTTCGTTCCGGGAAATGTATGCCAAACAGCAAAGAAATGATTAAGGACATTCATCATTAAACTTTAAGTCCATTTCACGATTCGATATCAATCAAAAGTAGGCAAAAAAAAAAAAATAAACAAAAAATTGATGAAAAAAAAGAAACAAAAACAAATCAAAAGTTTGACATTTTTGTATTAATTGACATTTTTTTCAGCCATGTCCTTGGGGCTTAAATATAAATCGAATTAGGAAATTAACTTTGTGCTGTTCTCATTTTTTCTGCGCCAAATGCAAAAGAAAAGGATAAATTTAATGGTTTTCTTAATGGGGTTATCTTAAGTTCGAATCAAAGCAAAGGTGTGCTTTATGAGTTGCTTCGCCACATAAATTAGAGATTCAGAATTACTTAAAATATTGAATATGAACTTATATACACAAAATGTTTCAGAATTGTGACAAATTTTTGAACAATTTTCGACAGCTTCCAACTTTTCCTCTTTCTTTTTCTAATTTTCTTGTAATTTATATTTCTTTACAAAAAAAAAAAAAAAAAAAAAAAAATGAATACAATTTAAACTTATGTTTAAATCGTACGATTTGTTTGTCCTTTTTACTCGCAAGCTGATTGTAATCTTATTGGATTATATATAATAAACACTCTAAACTATTATTAACAAGACCATGAATACGGCTTGTGACTATTTATCTGCAGCTATATGAGGCCTTTTTCTGTTTAGACAAAAACATTTATATCAAGTATTTCACTAATCCTTATTTAACTATATAATATATTCATAAATTTATATATATGCAAGTATACAGATAGCGCACTTTATTTAGTTTATATGGCATTATAAACTTGTGTATTTGGATTTTCAAATAATTTAATAAATAATAAACTCTGTGTCTGAACAGAGTTCCACTCAAACGTATTAAATTTAACAGATTTTTTATTTCTCTTTTGAATGATATTTTGCTTTTCCTTTGGCTATTTCCCACCAATGCACCTGTAAATTTAGTTTGTGTATTATTAAATTACAAACGGCCTACCTTACCGCTGCCGTGTGAGGTCGATGTAGTAAGCCCCAAGGACACCAGCTGAAAATCAGACTAACGCAAAATGTTGGTCGCGTGGCTGAATTTAGTTTTGTGTAGCGTCGAATAGAGGTCAACGCTTACCAAGTGTTAAATAGAAACTAAAAACATTCTAGTCCGACTGCATTAAAAAATCCCGGTTAAAGCTCTAATCTCGATATACAGCTAGGTTCTAGTCGGGAGCTCCCGAGTAGGGGATACCCTGAACCCTCTTCTTCCAACATCAAATGCATATATAAGTATATTCTATTTTAGAAGCTATATGTCAAGTTTGGGGACTCTAGCTCTTATTATTTACCAAAATAGCCCAAAAACCAGGATATCGATATCGATTTTTATCGATTGCTTGGAAACGGAGTAAGTTAACGATTATCGGAAATAAACTCGATCTGCGCAGGCACTAGGAACACCTACATCTAAAATTTCAAGTCTCTAGCTCTTATTGGTTCTGAAACGGACGGACAGACAGATAGACAGACGGACATGGCTAGATCGACTCGGCTATTGATGCTGATCAAGAATATATATACTTTATGGGGTCGGAGATGTTTCCTTCTGCCTGTTACATCCATTTGGATTTTGCACAAATACAATATACCCTTAAACCCATTTTTAATGGGTTCAGGGTATAAAAAGAGCTTTTAACAAGTGCATCAAAATGAAAACAAGCACAAAAAAGCACAGTTTTAAAAATAAAAAACTAAATAAAATTTGAATAAATATAAGCCTTAAACTTAATTCAAACTCTAACCAAACATTTTAGACTGACTGCCTAAAGTAAGCTCAAAAAACCTTAAAGCTCGCTAAAATGTAAGATTATTAAGGAAAGAAACTTTAAAATAAATAATCATTAAAATTTATGAAATTAAAATCTTAAAGCTTGATTTACTTGCTTCGCACTAACCTGTTTTAGTTTTGGTTTCATTTTGAAGATTAATCCGTGATTATCAGCTAGTGTCATTGAGCCAAAGCTTTAAAAACAGAAAAAGGCCCATCAACATGTACATACTCATATATAGTTATATATGTTTGTACGTCTGAGTGTGCATGTGTGTGTGCGTGTGTGTGTCTATATTTGTGTACAGATATGCAGTTACACAACGCAAGCCTTTTTATCCTATCCAAATGTGAGCAATGCGAAGAAGGTAGCCATGTCATGCTTTTTTTTATGTGTGTGTTTGCGTATGTGTGTGTTAGCCTAGTGTACTGCTGCCAGCGTGTATTATAACAGCATGAGAGCCGCAACTAAGCCGGACAAGCCCATTAAGAGCGGCTGTCGACAGTGGGACAGCCAGAGCGAATGCCACAGCACACATTGGCGGCGATAGTGCGGCTGATAGTGGCCCGGCCAGGCGCGAAGTGGCGCACCGCCGGAGCTACGTTCGTTGTTGTCCATGGGGCCGCGCACTTCCGTGTTGCCGTTGGCGCCGCCAACGCCCCCGGCGACGCCGCTGCCGCCATAATAGGTCGGCTTACGGGTGTTGCCAACCCCGCTGACATGGCCATTGCCGAATGCCAGCTCGATGCTGGTGGCGCCTCCACCGGCAGCGCCGCCGGATTGCGTCTGCTGTGTGTGATGGTGGTGCTGATGCTGGTGCTGATGGCCGCCACCACCACCGCCGGGCTTATGTGTCGGTGGCTTATTGCCGCTGGTGTAGTAATGGTGCGGCGATAACGGCGGCGAGCCGGCGAATTCGCCATCCTCGAAATCCTCCGCGGAGCCGTAGAGCTCGTCGTCGTCCGGCTGGTAGGTGACTTTGACTTGTTGTTTCAGTTTTAAAATGTCATTGGCATCCGTGTCGGTGGTGCCGCCAGCGTTGCCAGCGCCTCCGCTTCCTTTACTATTTGAGGGATTTTTACGATTCGGTCCCGGGATTTCTGTCGGCGGAAATGTAACGGTAACTTTAACGTTAACGGTAACGGTAACGGTAACGGTAGCAGTAGCAGTAATTGAAACAAAGGTGCAAATACCTCCACGCCACCCGCCCGCCAAAATATGTGCCGCGTTTATTATCCATAAACTACGTAACCCGCCGACATGCGAGTGCCCCAAACTCACCGTACAACCGGATGCTGCTGTCAACTTCGCCCAGCGAGTTTTTCGCAATACAACGGTAAGAGCCGACATCTTCCTTCTGAAATTTTCGCACAATCATCGACATTTTCGTCTCGTACATCGACTGCGAACCCTCCTGCACATGGTATTTGGCCGACGAGACAATCATTTCACCTGTTGATGAACAGACGTATCAAAAGTTATCAACTCACGGGAAATATTTAAAAGCACAATGTGTATTAAGCGAAAGTTGATAGTTATTTTATTTATTATTATAACTGTTTTTATTGTTATAATTACTATTTATCTTTGTATTTTCCTCTCATTCACTCTCTTTTTTACTCTCTTATTCTCGCATTTGCCCTTCTCTGCGATTTTCATTGATTTGCACATAAAAGAGGATAGACGTAGTTCTTATGTGAGTCAAAAAATGTGTCTGAGAAACCCCTTCTTAAGATTGATAACGATTCGAAGCACAAACACACAATTGCTTAAAAAAGGGATAATTCAATTTCAATTAAAGCTTTCGAAATAATAATATATATTTATTTAAAAATCAATACAAAGACAATCTTTAAATGATGAATCATTTAGGTATTTTTGTTCTTTTTTTATTTGCGAAAAAGAGTTATTTATTAAGTAAGCTTGTATCGCGACTGCAATTGTACAACGCTCGAGTAAATGGCAAAGAGAATTATAAATTAATTCATTACTGATATTAAAGCCCCTAACAAAAATCAATGGATTGTATATGATTAATTGTACGAGGCACAGGCCATGATGCCAATGTACAGAATAAACGTCAATGTGCATAATGCGGACTATAAACCCCTGCCAAAGCGGACAGTAGCCAAGACAACCGCAGCATTAACACCAAGATACACACACACACCGACATACACATACATCGACAGACACACACACACCGACACACACATACACATCGACACGCATAGATACGCACACAGACAGCCAGACGCATCAATGAATACAAAGAGGAGCCGCATATGCGCCTGCCTTGAGTTTGGGACTTTCACAATGCACAATGGGCCGAAAGTGCGTTGTATTCGTCGGACATTGACGAGGCCTGTCGCTACTTATGGCCGGGCATTACATTTGATGCTTAATGATAGAGAAAACAATTGTAAAAGCCACTTGGAGCATTCACAGCAAATACACGTACACGCATTCTACTGTATACACTCGATATTGTCTTTGTTTATTTGAATATGTTTATCTGTTCGGACTTGGGATGCATTTATAACATTTATACCCTAGCGAAAAACTATGGCAAAGTCGTGATATAGAACTTCAAATCCCTCAAATGATTTTTACTGTATAGAATAGTTTTAATATGAAAAGCTGTTTGCTGTAAAATATATACTAATCTCTAGCTTTTACATTGTGGAATATATTTGATAATTGCATCAGTATATTATGAGACTTTAACCTATATAAAAAACGACCAATTGCAAGCGGTCACTTTGAGTGACTTTTGACATATAGATGCCTTGGGGTCAATGTAAATTGAATTTTTGGCACGATTAGTTTATGGCTTAGAGCTCAAATGGGCTCACTAGACGTGACAATCTGACAGTGAACTAATGACAATCCGTACAAGGATAACGAGCATGCATGTCTATTCTATATACTTACTAACATATGTATATAAAGTGCATATGCCATCGAATGTCTATAAAATGTAAAAGTTGGCCATCAGCGGCACATGAAGCGAGACACAAATACACAGGCACGCACACCATCAGTCAGACACACACATACACATACACATAACACACACATACACATATATACTAACCGGTATCCTTAATCCAGTAGTTAATTGATTTGGGCGAGGCCTCAACGTGACACTCGATTTGAACATCAGTGCCAAGCGGTGCTCCGACTAATTGATTCGGCACTTGTATGACTGGATGAACTGCAAAAGGGAGAAAACAGAAAGAGAGAGTGAGTGAGAATGGGTGAGAGAAAGGGAGAGAGAGAGAGAGAGAGAGAGGGGAGAGAAAGTCGTTATGTAGTCGTTTGTTATTGCAGCAGTGCAGCACATTATAAAACCATTTTTTAAATGCATCCGTTCCCCTGTCTCGTACACAAAGTTGATATGATTTCTAGCCGTACTCATATGCAGCCATGTATAGATATATTATATAACTGGCCTTACAATATGGAAACGCTAACGATTCTGAATAAGGGCAAAATTAATCCTGCTTCTCATACAGTATAACCTTTTATCTCTTAGCTAGAAACATGTTGTTTAGTAACGAATAAGTTCCCACGATTCACATAAATTGCTTTCTAATTAGCATAGCTTTGAGGTTTGAGATATAACTCTACTTTTATAGTCTGATGACATTGTACTGCATTGACATAATTTACCCAGCTATTTTTTTGATTCGACGCTCATATTTTATCTATAAGGCAATGAGTTGAATTACTCGGTACAAAATGTTAATTGTTTTGGCTACTTTAGCTCGATACCTAGTTGAATTACATTTTGCAAAACGCTTAACGTTCTCAAACTTTGCATTGCTATTCTGCAATGTTTTCGCATAAACTAACTTGTGATGTTTACTCGCTGCCATTGCAGTGCTCATTTTATAGCGAGTTACAAAACTCGCTACAGCACGTTAAACGTTCTAGCTGCTTTAACTCGCTAACGAGTTTATTTACTCGCTGCAACACGTTGATCGTTATTGCCGATTTAACTCGCTAATAAGTTAAATAACTCGCTATTGACTGTCGTGTTACTCGACTTACTTGGCTTGGTCGTTTGCAATACAATAGCATAGAACTCTCAATTTTCTACACTCTTTACTTCGTGTGAAAAGAAATGACAACGATAGCGAATGCCGCTCCATTTTAAATAATAGCAGTTGCATAATAAACCACCTACATACATGCATGCATAAATACATATGCATTTTGTTTGTGAGTGTGTGTGTGTGTGTGTTTGTGTGTGCGTGTGTGTGTGTGTGTGCGTGTCTGTATGGGAGTAGAAGGCCAATTGGGAGTAGGATAACTCGGTGCGGTCATCAAAATGCAATGCAGATGCACTGCACGTCTCTCTGTGGAGTTAAATGGCAACTCTTTTGCAATTCTTGTGCGTGTTTATTGTCACTTAGTCAAAGAGGTAGAGAGGTGGGCCACCGTATACCAGGCACATCCACACACCCCCAAACACCCTACGCACACGCACACGCACACGCACACGCACACCCACACGTCTAGCAGACGCTCACCGAGCTATAACCAAAATTGGTGGTTTTGTAAAACTGCCAAAGCAGCCACAGGCCATTGCTTGCAACGTGGCAAACCCCACAACCAGCCGCCAGATATTCTGTACACACACATATGTGTGTGCGTGTGTGTGTCCATGCGTATTTGTAAGTGTGTGAAGGCAAGCATTTCTGTAGTCATGTGCATTGATAGTCAATTACAGTGCAACAGCAGCTTGCAACAATTGCCAGTGTATATGCGTGTGTGTTTGAGGGAGTGTATGTGTGTGTGTGTGTGTGGATCTACAGCATTGGACAGCTTTGTAAGTTCGAGGGATTTTAATTGATTTCCGTGCCCGAGTGCATATGTCTTATCTATCAACTGTCTATTTGCTCACTCACTGTAACCACATACATATAAAGCTAAGTTCAAGTATGTGTGTCAGCTTGAGTGTGTGCCTGTGTGTGTGTGACTGTGGGTGTGTTGCTATTAAAACAATCCGAAGGTAAACATACCTCACGAGTATGTACGTGTATAAAAATACACAAATTTATGTGATCATATGATCATAAGTATAAATATTACTAATCCGAGGGTATTACCTATTTACTGAACTACCTAAAAATCCATTTCACAAATGAGACATATGAAAATAAGTTTATAATCTTAATCAATCCGCCCATTTTTCACACATAAGACCCACTACGCTTTCTAATACCAGCAACTCACGTATTAATTATTTTTTAATGTAGAACCTTAACAAAAACGTTGTAGCTGATCGAACGGAACAGGAACTTTTTTCCATACAGTCATTGACGCCCATTTTCTATCTAGTGCAGTGAATTGCTGTCTTATTCAAAAAAAATAAATGAAAAATAAATCAAATAAATAAATGCGTTACAATCTAAGCTGTTAGAAAGGGAAAGCTTTCAAATAGCGGTTTTCCACCAATTTTCCACCGTCGCGGGTGTAATTATTAAACATTGCGTTTTAGCAGTTTAATGAAATTGGAAATGCAGCTTTTAATCTCTTTAGATCGTCAATCAGTCAGTCTGTCCAATCATTCCATTCAGTTTTATATATGGATATATAGCTATAAATTGAAACAGTTTCAAAGCTTTTAGGGGCTTTAAAACTTTGCTCCGCTGCTCATTTTCACGATTCCAATCCACCAGTTTGGTGGCAACTGCAGCCAGTGCTGTTTAGTACACAAAATTGACATTTAAGTCACGCACATTGCAGCAGAAGCTGCAGATGGAGATGGAGCTGGAGCTGGAGCTGGAGCTGGTTCTGGAGGCGGAGGTGGGGTGTCGGGACAGGAGCTGAGCTACGTTCAAGCATAAAAATCTTCCTGTCACTGGTACTCAGAGGCAGTCAACGAGCGGCTGCCAGCTTGACCAATGCATGAGTGCTGGTTGACTGCGTCTATTTTCAATCTGCATACAGGCAACACACTCACACACATACACACATACACAAACAGCTACACACACGGGCACACCTATACACAGATACACATACTGCAACTATGGGAGATTGCATTGGGGCAGGGAGGCCAGGCGGTGTCCCGGCAGAAGCGGCTGGCAAACACTTTCGCTTGCGATTTACAATTTTGCCATGATTATTCCGAGCATGTGCCTTGACTACAGCCACGCCCGCAGTCCTCAATCCTCAATCCTCAAGCCTCAGTTGCCAGTGCCTCCAGTTCTCCTGCCTGCTGGCTCAGTTGCGGCAAACAAAGCCACAAATATGCACTAATGACGTCGTCGCAGCAGCAGCAGCAGCAGCAGCAGCAGCTGCAACTACAATTACAGCGCACACATACACCCAGACACACACACACACGCACACACAGACACAGACACACATGCATACCTCATCAGATTTTGGGCTATTGTGTGAAACTTTGAGTTAAAGGTAAAAGAGTCGGACACAAAAGCCAATGACGTGTATTTTTCAGCTCATTGGCAGCGCAAATAGAGACCAGCCCTTTTGTACATTCATTCGTTTCGACGCCCCCCCTCCCCCTCCACCACTTTACGCCTTCGCTGCCCCGTGGTCCCTACCTGCACACACACAGACACGCACACATATGGAACAATTGCAAATTTATGGCACTGTCCGTGTGCGTTCCAAATATCACCTAACCTGGAAATATGTCTGGTTCGCTCTTAGGCGTACGTGATTTTTTGCGATTTGGCTCAATTATTTGCTTTTGATTTTCAACGAAAATGCACAAAAAATGTTCATAAGTTTTTATTTTTTTATTTTGAGCAATAGATTTCGAAACATATTTCTAAACAATGCAAATTTTAATGATGCGAGACGAGACAGAGTCCAATGTGAAACTCTTACAATGTTGATTGATGGACTTAAAGCGTTTCCTTTCAATCGTTTTCAAAACAAAAATATTGCCAAATTTGTGCAAAACATTGGGTTTCACAAGAATTAATTCAATGTATGCCAAGTAAATCCAGTGGACAAATCAATATTCAAATGCTATTTCTCGTTCAAACCTACTCAAATTTTAGGAAAAGCAATTACGATGGATTTGTGAGGCTTACAAGTCAGTTTTTTTGACCAATTTTTAAAGAGAAACTTGATTTGATAATCAAGGGTGGGCTATAGAATACGACGAATCAACAGCTGGGCTCATCAATGAAAAGACCTAGGTTCCTCTACCGAAGCATCTACAAATATGTTCATTTACTCTGAAGCTCTTGATGGTGGACAACAGGGACATATTATTTTTATGTATTAAGGAGTTGAATCAATTTGTGTTTACATAGTGTGTTGAATATAGTTGTATAGAAGGAAAGTGAAATGTTTGTTAAGGTTGCTTGGCGCAGAGCTCGAGGTATTTGCCAGTCGGACACTCCCGACAGGTAACTGGTTCAGACTATGTTGGCTAGAATTCATTTATTGCTGGCTTATAATATTGTTGGGTAAATAGAAAATCACAAAAAAAAATGTCATCGGGTAAAGAGTATCGTCTATTAAGGGGGCTGGCAAATCAGAGAAAAATTGATTGAGCAATTATACGGTAAACAATAAATGCAGTATCTGTGCGGACTGTGGCATATGGGATGGGGGGAGTCTGCCTGCTAATTGTGGGATAATTGTTTGTTGCGCTTCCCGGTGCTGTTTTCCTGCAAATGCGCAACGCACACCAATTCCACGTCCCTAATTAGTCGTGCAGGAAGGTACCTAACAAGGCAGGAAACTTCAGCAAATGGCACGGAAACACGCAAGGGGATATGCGATGTCGGTGTCGATGACGCTGTCGCTGTTGCTGTTCCTGTCGCTGTCAGTGTCGGTGGCGGAGTCGGTGTCGGAGCTGTTGGTGCCACATGCGGCAAGCTGCAAATGCAGCCGGGGCTTTATCAGGCAGCTGCAGTGCAAGCAGTTCGCTGAAGATGCCATGGGAAAAAAGGCCATGCAAATAGCTTGCCAGCTGAAGGAAAACTTTGTTTTCACTTACTCAGCCAGCCAGGTGGGACAGGCTGGCAGGCAGTCGCAACATTTGCCAAACAAATTGTGAGTAAGTTCCTGCAGAAATAGCAACAGGAAACGCGCACACTCGAATATGACGAAACTGGATTTGCAGCTGGGGGAAGTAGGGTCGACATGCCCAAGGCATGGGCATGGGCTTTCGTGTAGTTCTTCTGTGGCGGCAGGCACTCTGCCCAAGTTGATCAAAAACTTTGAAAAGGTAGCGTATGCCAATGGCACTGGCGGCAAGCAGATAGCATAGGAGCGCAGAACAGCTCTTAATGCTTTAATAGCTTTAATCAACGTAGAAGAAGGACGCGCGGACTTCTTGGCGCAGTCCTAAGCACTACACACACTTAAAGGCCACATTAACAAAATGTCAAAATGTTAAAAAGCGTGATTTTGCCACCCGAACGGGTGGCGGCGACAAGTCTAGTAGTAGTCCTCTCTGCCGCAACGGACAAAAGAGCAAGCAAAATAAACACAGCCAGGACACACAAGGCACCAGGCACCAGGCACCAGGCCCTGTGCCTGGCCAGGAATAGGAATTGCGGCGCTGCTGCACACGTTGGCAAACAAGCGCAGTGTGGAGCTGCTGCTGATGTCGTGATGATTGAGTGAACTGCCACATGGAGCGGCAGGCGGCAGGTGGCAGGAGGCAGGCGGTGCAACTAAGAGCCACCAAGCGTCGTCATCAACTAGGACAGCATGCCGCACGTGCTGCAGACAGGTTGACAAAAAACTGTGGCCCCCCCTACCCAAAAAAAGCAACAGCAACACAATGCACAAGGCATCAGGTAATGCCCGGTATCAGTGACTGGATTTAAACGGATTACAACAACGACAATCGAGTTAGCGCCGCACCGAGCCACAAGCTGTTCACTACCTTGCCCCAAAACCCAACCCCATCTCGCCACAGCCCGCCCCCTTGCCACCCAGCCAGTTCTGCCACTGTTCTGATTTTCTCCTTTCTATGCCCAGCTTTGAGATTGCTTCTTTTTTCCCTTTTTTTTTTTTTGTCCGCAGCATAGCTGAGGGCGCTGTGTGTGTGTGTGTGTGTGTGTAGTTGATAACTGTGGCTAAAGCTGGCTGCACGCTGGGTGTCAGTACACTAAACTAGATAAACACCACGACGCTGGCCGGCGCCAAAAACTGAGAGCTGTGAGCTCAAAGGATGAGTTCCGGACGGACGCAGTCTGCGCTCTGGCGACAGCTGACTAATGATATGTACGTGTACAAAAAAAAAAAAAAAAAAAACAAAAAATACAAATAAAAAAAAAAGGAGAATGCACAAAGTTGACCAACCACAACTCTCTAATTAATGCCAACTCAGCTCAGCCCTCTGGCACCACGTGACCAGCAGCCAGCAGCCAGCAGCAAATGGATTGCGGACTTGATTTACTTACAGTGTATGCTAAGCGAGATGCGCTTTGAAACCGATGGGGGCACACCATTGGAGGCGATGCACAGATACGAGCCCATCTCGTTGCGTGAGATTTTTGTCAGCTTGAGCACCTCGCCGCGGAACGAGGAAACTGTCATCGGGCCGAGAAAGAGAGAGTGAGAGAGAGAGAGAGAGAGAGAGAGAGAGAGAATTTTACAGATAACTCAGTTAAAGCTAACCGCTTTATTGTTTAATTATTTAGTGCTAGTCGAATACATACCCAATGTCTTGGTGCCGGCGTTATCCTTGAGCACTATTTCGCTGCCATCCTCGCGGCGCCAGTTCACAATGGGCTCCGGATAGCCACGCGCGCTGCAAAGTAAACATTGGACGTATTAGGGCCCGTTGGGGCTGTTTGACTGTAGGAAATGTAAAATTACAAGGCCAGGAGAAAGTAATTGGTATATAAACACATTTAAATGCCACACTTAAGTCCCTCAAATTTGAGAGAGATGGGTCTATTAAAATTCATATTTTGATGAACTTCAATTCAAGAATGCATTTTAAAAAGTTTGTAGTGGATATATATAAGTAAAGGGCGGATCTATAAGGTATTATATTTACTATTAGGAAGTACAAAAGCATATCAATCAGAAGCACTTCATACAAAACATAAAACACTTCAAGAAGGAAGAAATGTTAAAACAGTTACCAATAACAAAGTGCGTTAATATCATGGAGAGGTTGTAAAGAGGGGATTAGGGAGATCCAGCTTAAGGTGGTCGACACGTCCTCAGCGAACGAGCATGTGACGCAACTCAGATTTCAAAAAAAAATTATATAGAGCCAGCTCATCTGCAAAGCAGCTGACATGTCTTTGAAAAAGGAACTTAAGAAGTTTTGCAATGAAAGACCAGTTGTTGGCCCTGAAGATGTTAGAGAGGCTGGCTTAATATATAAAATAAACAATATTAAATTTAATTCTTAACTTATTTTACCATGAACTTTTCAATGAAAAAATGGTACACTGTGGTTATTTAACATTTAAATGAGAACATCGAAACGCGGCGCACTTTAAATCGTCGCAAATCTTTTCGCTGCCCACAAAAGTAGGCAATGGAAATTTGTGCGCAAGCTGAGTTTTGGTCTATTCAACTTAATATGCGGCATTGGTGGCCATTGTGTTGGCCCAAAGCGCCAACTTCTTGTAATGTAGACGACGCAACGCTTTTGGCCAGCAGTCGCCGTCTGTGGCTGAGATTGTGAATGGGCTGGATGTATGCTCCGCCGAGGGAGGGGGTTCGGCGAAGGCTGTATGCATGTTGAGGCAGCAGTTTAACAGCGCACCAGACACGGGTGTGGTAAATTTTTATGATGCCGCAAACAGATGCAAAATAGCCAAGAAAAGAAAATCTTACGCACACACACACACACACACACACACACAACCGCACACAAACACAGGAACACAGACAGGCTGAGACATTTCGAGAGTTCGTCCCGAGTGCAAGACCAGAGCAAACACAATGGAGACCGCCTGGGTACCAGTCAGCAGCAGTTGCTTAGCTGCTAACTTGGCTAATACTGAGCGTCTGCTAAGCTGATTGTTTGTCCTGCATGTCTATGTGTGTGTGTGTGTGTGTGTGTACGTGTTTGTGTGTGTGTGAGGTGTTTCTTGTAACATGTTTATTCATGAAAACAAAACTGCATACCTACATACATGTACTACAATGAACCAAGACACGCTCTCTAAACACGTAGGTGATCATTGTATTTAAATAAACATTGCCTCTTTATCAGGGCACGCACACAACATACATATTTGAATTATATAATTGTTAGGGGTATTGCCTAAGTATTATGAACCTTTGCTTTTAGACTTAACATTTATTATGAATTCTAACATATTATTGAGTTGAATTTAGAGGTCTTTCACGCTGAATAAGCTGAAAAGAATTTTAACATAAACCATAAAATGTTTTAAATAATCGATTTTACTAACGATTTATTTTCGATTCACAAATAAAAACATTCCAGGTAGAGCCGTTTAAAGGAAATCCATTTACATCTTAAACTGTGCTTGGTTCCGTACAAAAAAATGGTATGAAAACACTCTTTTCCCATTTTGGAACAGTGTATAAATGTTTTTAGTCAACAACAAGGACAAACAATAGAGCTTAACAATCTGTTCATCTGGCGAACTTTGAAACAGCAGCCGTTTTAATTTTGTTTTTGTTTGCTGGCTGCTTAAAGTTAAATTCACTTTATGGGACTTGCCCTAAGTGGTATTAAAATGAAAAAAATTACAGACGATGTCTCTAATAGCTTTCCACATACACACACACACACGCACACTCGCACTAAGAACATAAACATAGACCGATACGAGCAAGGAGGAGCCCGTTTATCGCCCTGGTTCTATCATTCTGCGGTTAAATCGTTAAAATTACTTCGTGGCGGTGGTCAAGTTCATAAATCAACGGCGACCAAATGCGTCGCGTCGCGTCGCATCGAGTCGATGTCGCAGTTAGCTAAAAGGAAAAACCACTGAAACTAACACAAGCTAAGGCCAGCCGATAGGCGATGGTGTGTGCTCCACATTTTGATACCCTGTAGACTGTTGCACTTATTCGTTAAGGTCTTGCTTTACTGACTTTGAAGCATTAGCTCGGGAAATTGAAGAGTTCTTCTATTAGATATCATATCTTCGATGGCACTCAATACGAATATAATCGTCAATATATATATATATATATATCTTTTAACTCTTTTCTAAAGTAGTGTCAAGCTATCTGTACACATATTTCACACGCACACACACACACACACTGATATGCACACATATCAAGTTGCTTTTCGTAAGCGAGATGCTCAACTTTTTGCAAGGGCATATGGTTAGCGCCGACCCAAATCAAGAGAAATGAAGTGTCGCTTAATTTGCTGACATTATTAAATGATGATGATGATGATGACGCAGACAATGAGGGTGGAGTTGTGCTTAGTTTTTGGTGATGATAGTCATTTGGCTGGGATTTTAGTTGAGTAAAGGAATGCAGGACGCATTTATTGGGATATTAGCTACACACACGCATTAATATACATATGTCTGACGAAACTAACATTTGCATGCTAGTTAACGAATGTTTGATCGTATTCTTGTAGATCGACATGTTAGAGCTCTACTAATTAGTGATATCTAAAGGCCAAGTAACATTTAACTCAAGCTCAAGCTGTCAGCTAGTTAAGCATATCATTAGACTTATGACGCTGAGCAGCGTTGCCAGACTGCAATAAAACTTATTGAGCTTATCGACCAACAGTTAAATTTAACCTGATGTCAACTAATATGTGTGATTAAGTGTTTGTATGTGGCTAATTGGTAATTGCCACTGCCTTCATATAATTCAACCTACTTATTATGTTGGCTCAGGCCTATGTAAGCTGAACTGCGTTGCCGGACAGTAATCCAGCTTTCTGTACACTATGTGGATTATGTGGGCTATAATTGTTAAGATTAACATTGCTTTTAAATTACACTCACCGACATGTTAAGCGCACTGAGCTACCCTCGGGCACAATAACATCCGACGAAGTATCCTCGCTGATAAAGTCCGGTGGAATGACAACATCCAGGAAACCAATCTAGAGAAAAGTAAGAAATATAAAAATGGTAATGTGCAAAATTAAACAGCATTTTTCAATAGTCTATATGTGGATTAAAAAAACTAAATAAAAAAGAGTTGCAATAGATGACGGAAAATGTTGTCAATTGGGGCCGGAAATGGGAACAAAAGTCAATCCCGTTGAAAAATAAATATCAAAATGTAAAATTGAAGGACAGACAAGTAAAATAAAGTAAAAGGAAAAAAAATAAACAAATAAAACAATCATCAGTTAAATGTTACGGACAGCAGAGGCGGCCAGTTTGGCTAAATTTACTATACACTCAGCGAAAATTTGCTGATTATGCAGGCGGTCATAAAGCAGCAAATGTTTTTATGTGCCGTATGGGGGGGCCCCTGAGATCGGGAACGGGCATTATACATACACATACATAACGTAGCAAATGAAATGACGCTAAATAGTTTAGGACTGTGTGACAGTCAGCACCAGGACCAGGACCAGGACCAGGGCCCGAACTCTTAACGCAATGGCAATGGTAATAGAAAGCAAGGCAAAAGCGTAGAAAAGAAACGAAGACAATTGGGCAACGGTTGCGTGTGCAGCGCTCTGTGCCACTTGCTGTTGCAGTAAGTACACCAGCCCAGGCCAACCCGAAACCCCCCCTCTCTCTCTCTCTCTCTCGCACTCTCCACGCCGCATACTCGGGCGCCATCAACTGCTGCTGTTGTCCTTGTGAGAAGCGTTAAAGTAAAAATAAAAATTAAGGAAGCATGAAATACATTTTATTGGCGCCATAAACTTCACTTGGCTGGACACATGAGTGTACGTGCGTCCACACGCACACAAACAACTAACGCACACTCACACACACACACACACACACACACACACGTACAGACATTTGAATGAGTGTGTGTGTATGTCTTTCGCCTTGTTTGCCATAGTTTTCGCTTTCGATTTGCTGCGCTTTCTTTCACTTGGTCAACATTGGGGGGCAAGAGGCTAAAGCAAATCGTAAGCCCAAGAAGGGAGGGGGGATTGTGTCTGGAGTGTGGGGCGCCACCGAGCGCGTTGCATTCTCCTGTACGTTTGCCCCTTCAAATGCTGCATGAAATTTTCCTGGACACTTTGGAAAATTGCTTTCAACAGCAGCAGGCAACAAGCAGCAGCAACGTACATGGAAAATATTTAGAAACATTTTCAGTGTCTTCTTAGCTGGGGCATTATTCATTGGATGTGACCTTTGCCCAGCTACTTATGTTAAGCAGAGCTCAAATACTGTCGATAATGCTCACATTTAACCTATCTACTCACACATACATGCGTGTTTATTAAGCATATGTTGGGGATATGTGAAAACTCCATTGGACCTGTTTGTTCTGTTTTTCAAGAAAGCTTCCTGGCAAAGCAACTTAGAGTTTGTTTGAAAGTGTGGCAGCACTGTGTCGATAAGTTGACACTGGCTGTAATTAACAATTAATATTAATAATAATAATTAATTGATAATTATAAACGAGTGGAGAACGCGGTTGAGACGTTGCATGACACATTTACCAAGCAGCATGGCAACTTTGCCATGAACTAAAATTGATTCCATAATGTAACACTCCAATAGATAGCACATTGTAAACTACATGGTAATGAAACAATTGGATAAGTGTCAGAGTGGTCTCTTAATTGATATATTTGCTGGGTTTTCTTTAGCAGAGTCTTAATGTAAAATAGCATACTTAACAAAGATAAAAACTAAGGCGAAACTGAGAAAGTTGTGCACTTACTTGACTTTTCATTGGATCCGTATTCAGCTGGCACATATAACCGCCCCGATCCTCCTCGGAAACGGCCTTGATGTGCAAATTCCAGGTGTTCTGATCCAAATGGCTGACCGTGACACGTGGATTGTGCGTAATCACGTTCTCGTGTATGGCCTGGATGGCTTTTGTGTCGGCTTTAAGCCAGCCCACCTGTGGAAACGAAGTCAAGAGAAATTACATTTACCAGGTACTTTGGCTAAGGGTAATGGGATTGCGGTTGATTATTGTTGTGGCACAGATTTCAGATGCTTAGTGGCTGCATTATTGTGCTGGTATCATTAATTAAGCGGTGTGTTGTGTTTACTAAGTACCACTGTTTGTGAGTGTGTGTGTGTGTGTATGTGTGTGGATGAAGTACTTACGCGATAGCCACCCAAGTGGCGCACGTGACAGGTGAAGGTTGCGTCGCGACCCACAGCGACGGACACATTTGAAATGCTTTCCACAAACTCCGGTTGAAAGGCGCCAATCGCTGTAAATGTGCAGCCAGAGTAGAGACAGGGAGAAAGAGAGAGAGTGAGAGAGAGAGAGGAGTGAGAGCACCAATAAGATATGAGATTAGAATGCATCTGCGGTGTGTGGGCGGCGGTTAGTTGTGCGAGTTAATGATATCACAGGCAATGCACGACTAGCACCGCCAGCAGCCGTTGCGCCTGCCAAAAACTCAGTGATTTATCGCTTTTAAATGTGCCCGACGCGCCACTTGCCAAGTCGCAGACAGCCACCAGCCAGCAGCCAGCAGCCAGAAGCCCAACTATCAACAGCCAACAGGCAGCCAAGTAGCAGTTCAGGGTTCAGAGTTGGCTCTTAAAGAGCCAGCGTGCGGCTAATTGAAGATCAACACTCATGAGTTAACCGCCTGCACAGCCTTTGCCGCAGCGGGGCCAACTTGGGCCAATGCTTGGTGACATACGCAAACATATAATATAAATTATTTATTGAATCATTCAAAATCAAACAGTTCACTTGCAAGTTTTGCAAACAAAAAATCCTTTTTTTTTTCAGCCCGTTCCATATATTTATATATATATATATATATTTAAAAGCGACAAGCCTTAGATTAAATACCCTTCTGGGGATATGCGAGCTGGAGATGTTTTATACGAAAATTCTTTGCCAACCGATTGTTCCTATAGAAGCAACATAATTTTTTACTTGATAAGGTTACGTTTATTTGTACAGATATCCTTGGAGCGCAAAAAAGTATTTCTTGCGGAAAGCCAATCGACGACTAAAGTGCTTGCAATCGAAAGACAAACTAGTAGTCGATTGTAGACGGATAGCTTTGAAATTCAGGGACATGGCCAGGTCAATACGACTCGTAAAACTGATCAAGAGTCTATGTCATTTCCTTCTATGATTAACATATGGCATAACAAAATTATAATACTCTCTAAAAGGGCATAAAATAGCGAAAGGCAAAAAGCGGTTGATTGGGCGGGCGGGCGGTCGGGTCGGTCTAGGAGCGGGCTGCAAGGCGGCAGACAGCGACTAGCGCAGCCGTTGCCGCAACAAAGTGCCCGCTGCCCCTCTCCCCCTTACGCCATCATACCCCTGCACCCTACTCTGCGCCTTTGGCCTGGTAATGCATGCGAAAAACTTTTGCCAAACTTGAAATTTAAATATTTATAGACACTGCCGCTGGCAGCCGGCAGCCGGCAAGTGCGTCGGCCATCCGCATCCACCGAACGTGCCACCCACAGCCAACGTCAACGCCAACGCTACCGCCACCACTCAAATGCCACCGATTGTATTGTATGCCACTCACTGAGGGCGGGACAGGAACAGGGACAGGGGCATGGGCCGGGGCAGTGTCAGGGGGTGTGGCGGTAAGTGGAAGAATGTGCTGAATCGACGCAATTGGCCAAAGGCATGATTTATTTCATATTTTTTTCCAGATTTCGTTTCTACAACTTTTTCTTATATTATTGAAAATGGATATAATTTGTGAAGCAGTTATGAGCTGTTCATTCCCATTGATGGCTCTTTCAAATAGAGCAGGGACAACTTTTTATTTTTCCATTCGCCGTTAAGCAAAAATGATTGCTACACATTTGTTTAAAAGAAAACTCTTCGGTTGAAGCAAAGTATGTTGTTATTATTTGCAAATCATTCGTATATTTGATTTGTGAAAAATAATTGCTACTCAACACATTTTCACTCAGAGGCAGGCATAAGAAAAGGTTCGCTTTATATTTATTTAACAAAAAGCTTGTACTTTAAGAAGAGATGTACTGTTCAAATAGTTTCGCATGGAATTAAGGCATTTGTATACCCTAACTTATCTTGCTCCATGGCTCATACATACGTTATATACGTAAATAAAAAGATTAATTAAATCATATATAAGTTAAACAATAATAAATTTAAAAAATGTTTGTAAAATAAAATACATTAAAATGTTTAAAATCTACTTGTTATATCTATTAATAATAAAATAATACAAATCAATTGCCGCGCATAAATAATGCTAGCCTGAAAAACGGTTCCAACCAATTGGATAATACGTTTGTTGTTTTACTAGTTTTAGGAGAGAAAGAGCTGCCTTAATATGCACTATGAATTTCTTCAGACAGCCTGGCTTTAACACTTTTAAGCATCTGCCAGTGTTGCGAGCAGGATGCGAGTTGGCTTTATAGTTTAAGTCGCTTTGCTGAGTTGAGGCGGCCTAAGGCCAATTTAAAAAAGAAGTGGCTAACCAGTCATCGCTTAATTTCTAAAATATATATTTTCATTTATTTAGCAGTTCCTCAAACAAAACTGCCAAAAAAAAAAAAGAACGTAACCAGTGTTGGAAGCTGCTGTTGGCGTCTGTTGGGCGTCTGTGGTTGCAGCTGGATTTATTTGCATGGATTTTGTTGCTGCAGTTGTTGGAAAGAGAAACCAAGCGACTGACTGGCTGGATGACTGACTGACTGACTGACTGGCTGACTGACTGAGTTTTTCATTAGCATTCTGAGAGTAAGGGTCTTGACTGAGATTTCGTATCAAAATCAACAACAGCTAAAAAGTTCAGTTCAGAACAACAACTTGAGCAACAAGAGCAAATCTTTGCTGCAAATTGCAGAAGCACATGCAAAGTCAGTGATAGACACCGGACAAATGGAGCTGTAGACGTAACGACACCCACATCCACACCCACACCCACACTCACGTCCACATCCATACATACACAACCACTTACACAGTGGCCAAACAAGCTGCACTCAAATGTAGTTCCTGCCTGGCTGGCTGCGGCTTGTTTGTCAATCTGTTCAACTGGATGCCAAACTGGAGGCTTCAGTATTGTGCCAATTCCAATGAACTTGTCGCCCCCGTAAGGTTGAGGCCCGTCGTTTTGTGTCGCAATGCTCAACTGTACCCCCTCTGGCGCTCTGCCTTGCTCCCGCAGCTGTTAGCCGCTTGGCTATCTCGCCATCCTGTCTCGGAGCACTTTGCATTTTCCGGTCACAAGAATTGAAGTTGCGCCAAGTCGCGTGTGCAGCCAAAGTCAATTAACCCATGCCCGTCGGTCAGCCTAACCTCTCTCCCCGTCCCCGTCCCCCTGCCCCAGCCCATGCTACCGCCCCGTCGTATCTACTGCAGTCGATGTTTTTCACATTTTCGCACGTTATCATAAATTTGGCGTCTCCGCCGGGACTAGGGCCCGGCAGCTTCATTTCAATTTTCTTAGCCACTGCTCTGGTTGTCGTGGATCCAGTTTGAAGGCGGATTCTGTGGGTTACGTGGAAACGGAGGCTTGTCACTTTGGCAGAGCTTTGCTGCCAATGGCCCACATGCAGTACGTATGGGTGGCCCGGCAATGGCGCTCCAAAAGTTTAAATCACACAACGACAATGAGGATTTACCAAAGCAAATTTATGGTTAAGGACATTGGCAAAAGTTAAGCTTGTTTTGTCAATGGATGCGTGTGTGTGTGTGTGTGTGTGTGTCTGTGTGCGTGTGTGTTAATAAAGTGTCTCGTCCTGCGTATGTGTATATGTGGGCCAAGAAAATATATGGCACAGCATTCTGTGCCATTGCCCCGCTCCAAGGTGTATAGCCTGGTCGAAACACAGCTACAAAGATGCCAATCTGCATGGCACCTTTTTTTATGGTGCGCACACACAAATCCCAGCGCCAAAGCGCCAATGATAGGTGATAATGGCAAATTTTGAGACGGCAACTGGAATTGAAAGCTGCCGCACAGCGGGCACAGCTCCAATGGCCAAAGAGCCAAAAGACAAAACTTAAATAAACAGCAGCCCCAGAGCAGACACGGCGCTGACGAGGCATTAAAGTGCTGCAACTGTTAAAATTTATAAGGAAGCAGAAGGGAGCGCGCTCGATTTCAGATACTCTCTAATGAATCAAGCTGAAGGGCGAATGACACTATAAACAGAGCAGAGATAGCACGCAGAAGAAAGCTTTTTCAAGCTCACTTTCCACTGATTCTTTTCAGAGCAAAAAGTCAGTTTAAACTTACAAATGTCGACTTTGATGGAGATATCTTGAGAAGCAAAGAAATTGATCTAAATGACAAGATATGATATGATATAGCGGTCCAATACGGTCGGTTCAGATACTTGTACTGCTGGGAAATGGAATATATGTATATACTTTTTGATGACAGAGATGTTCCCTTCCAAATTAGCAATACCCTTTGCAGGAAAACTTGTTTACAGAAAGTACAGGCAGTCAAATATTTGAAGAATCTTCAACTAAATATGGTTTATAACATTCGCTTCACATTCTCTTAGCTATCGAAGTTATCGATTAGTCCGATAAGTGTACAACCTAATAAGCAAACAGGGTATAAATACATACTATATAGCCTTCTCTGTATATATATATATATATATATATATAATCAAATTGCCGAGTTAGTCTTTGTTGCCAGTTTTCGCTGGGCGTTGAACTACCAAACGCAAATAGCAAATAGCAAATAACAAATGATGGCTGCAGCAAGTGGCAGCAAGTGGCGGCCGCGGTTGGTGGCAACTGCGCCTAATGGCCAGCCAGCCCGACTTGGGCGCACATTTGCATTTTTTACAAATCGTCGTCTACAACTTGTAGCACTCGCAATTGAATTTGCACTGGCCAACAAGACAAAAAAAAAAAAAAAAGCAAATAAATAAAAAAAAAAAATGCCAAAAACTCACAGGAAAATTCAATTTCATGTTTTTTTTTTCTCTCAGCCTTAACAAACGTCTTGCAATTAATTGTGTCTTGATTTTTGTTTCACACTTTGAAATGGGTTCGCAGCCCTTTTTTAGTGGGCAGGCATTGCAAATGAGCGACGAGTTGATTTTAATTGCCAAAGTTTTCATACCCCATAAAAGGAGTTGGGCTTAGTATTGGGATTCGCCGGACCATTGCTACTCCTCCCCCTCGCCGCCAAGGGGTTTCACTCTTCAATCAACATGACATATCGAAATTCACCTTGCATAGCCGAATCTAATAGCTAATATTTATTTTTAGCTTCAATGTGGC